TTTTAAATGTTTACTTTCAGAAACAACTTACATACGTACTGGTCATCCAATCGAATTCTTAAATACAGTCAAAGATGAAAGGTGTGTAAGGAGACAGAGTACGTATGTAAGTTGTTTCTGAAAGTAAACATTTAAAAGTTATAGAAGTTTAAGAGCTCTCCACACAACGTGATCACACTGTCAAAAATAAAAAAAACTACAGATAAATCTACTGAATATTCCAAGGTCTTCTCACCTTCGGTGGAACGATAGGCAAGAAAGAGCTCTTCGAAGATATCAGAGAGCCGTTCAAGGAAGCTGAACCGGTGCTCCCATTCATCATCGATGCATTTAAAGGGGACGATTTAGCGCTTTTTGCCGCCAAAAACTTCAACTGCCTTTGAGTACTGAAATTCTAACGTTTAATCGATGATTGAACATGAAAAGGCCTGTATGGTTTAATTGTTTAAAGTAAGCCAATCAAACCTTATTGGATTCGGCGTTTCATCAGTGTCCTTTACAGTACCCATCTTCAGCAAGGGCGAATCACCATAGGGACACGCTGCTATTTGGGCATCCAGAAGTGCCATTTGTATCTACAATAGAAATTCACTTCTTAACAAAGGACTAAACGCTTCACAAACAGGTCTCAAGCTAATCAAAGACTGTAACATGAAGCGGACCTGAGCTTGGTTTACATCGGAGCCAAGTACGATTGGAGCAGCAGCGGGGACATTTATAGTAGTTGGAGCAGCGGCACCAAAAGCTACAAAAAGAATTGTGAAATAACATAAGTCCATAATACCAAGTAAGATGCCATGCTTACTTGTATTTGCCTGCTGGTTTGCCGTATTTGCTCCGAAAAGTGACGTTTGTGCTGGTTGCGTACTTCCAAAAAGACCAGTGCTCTGCTGCGCAGGTTGGCTTCCAAATACGGAACCTGGCAACAGCATCGCTAGGATAAAATTTTACAAAGAACTTGAACTTATCAGAACAATTTCCCCGACATAACAACTTTGGCAAGTTCTTGAGAACACTACGAATTTAGAGCCTAGTGTGGGTACAGAACAGGCAAGTGAAGAAAATAAGCCTAGACCCAATACAACAGTTTTATTTGTAAGCTGACCTGCGTGCAAGGACAAGCGACGATAGCAGCAACGCAACGCAGCGCAACTCACCCTAAGCAATACAATTTCGTAAAATAAAGGCTACGAACCTGTGGTATTAGTACTACTACCAAATAATCCTCCTGGCTTCTGAGTGTTGCCGAAAAGACTGCCTGTAGTAGTTTGACCTGCAACGGATTTTCGCTATCGAAAGACCACAGTACAAAGTAAGTTCCGTATTGGTAGTAAGTATTGCTGTCATATCACTGGTTACAGCAATAACAATGACTGGTGAGCTTTCAACGAAGGACTTGCGGAAAACTCACCAAATGTCGTATTTGAAGGGGTTCCAAAAGAAAATGCGCTCGTTCCGGCTGGTTTGCCAAACAGGCTACCTGTGTTCGTTGTGGCCGTATTTGAACCAAACAATCCTCCTGTGTTTGTACTTCCTGTTTGACCAAATGGAGATGCAGTCTTAATGGTAGGTTATGGGTTCTATTCTGAAATCGCCGAAATCGAAACGAAATACAGATACTCACTGTATTCGTTGTCGAGCCAAAAGTGAAAGAGCTCGTCGTCGTAGTGGCAGTACCAAAAGAGGAACCGCCAAAAAGGGACCCAGTTTGCTGAGTGGATCCGAATGCCTTGGAAAAATTAAATTTTCGTCATTGTACACGGAATTTGAAAGTATGTTAGCCTTACAGAGCCTCCTGTGTTTCCAAATAAGCTACCGCCGGTGGATGATCCAAACGCCGAAGTGGTTCCTGTCGCTGGTGAGCCGAAAAGACTACCCGTAGGCTTGCTGCCAAACAAAGAAGAACCCTTGAATAAAACCATTATCATAAAATTGACGCCATTGCTGCTGCTCATCATACCTGAGTGGCATTGTTATTCTGACCGAAGAGCGATGTACCTTGTGTTGCGCCAAACGGTGACGTAGTTGCTGTAAAAGGAATATCGTATGAATGAATTTCTTTGTTCATAAAGAAAAACTACAAAGAGGAAAATCAAGGCGAGGCGAACTAGCAGTAGAGCAAGCCAAAGTTAGCACAAAGTTAGCATAAAAGGTCTGAAGTTCTAAATAATCGGATGCGGATTTGAAGCAGCTTCAAAACTCATGTAATATGATCGGATTTCCTTCTGAGTGTACTTGTTTTTAAGTCACAGATTAAATTAATGACTGAATACGCTCGAATTCCAACGTAGTTACCACCGGTCCATGTCGCTCCATTATTAGATATCAAGCTTGTATAGTAGAAGACAACAGTAGAAAAAATGTGTTGAAAAACTTACAAGTAGATGAACCAAATAGCGATGGCTTGGCAGGAGTGCTACCAAATATGCTAGTACCAGCATTAGTCGCCGTTGAACTACCAAACAAGCCACCACTTGTTGACGGTGTTTTTCTATTGGCGATGTAATCATCTATTCGAAGTTCCTGAACAAACATTCCTTAAACGTTCAGGGCTTACGTTATGTAGTAATAGAAGAGAATCTGAAAATACACCAAACGAGATGACTAGCAATACGACAACATGTGCTGGTAGTGACAGAATATGAGCCCACCTCAATACTTTTGCCTTCGTAAGCTTTCATAGCCGTTATGCACATGTGTTTGGTTTGTATTGTAGTCTGGGAGCCGTTTTTCATCATTGTGTCAGAAGACACCAGAGGCTCGAATTTGATAGTGGTTCCATTTACAGTGGATGCCGCTAAATAAGACAAGGTTATTTCGAGCTCGGTGATATTATGCCACGTAAGGATACAAAAACCACAATTCATTGATGTGACATGAACTTACATCCGAACAGACCGCCTCCAGTTGAAGTAGTAGAGCTACCAAAAAGTGATGTACCAGTTGTGGACGAACTGCCGAATAAGGATGGTTTCGACTGCCCGAATAAAGACGTCCCAGTATTCGACCCTGTATTTGATGAGCCTGAAAGTTTTGGTGAAGCGAGGATTGATACGTCAAAATGATCTCAGCTAATACGGTTGAATCTCTCTAGCATGAAACGAAGCTTCCACGAATGTTTTCGAGTGTTTTGCTTGAAAAAATTGATTTTATATTGATATTTTACCAAAAATTGATGTTCCTGCGGCCGGAGTGCTTTGACCGAAGAGGCTAGTAGTAGATTTCTGGCCGAATAGTGAACCTTGAGTGCCTGTGTTTTGCTGACCAAAGAGATTTGTTGTAGGCTTGTTTTGACCAAACAACGAACCTGAAGAATATAAGCACATTGCATATAAACTTTTGAATAGCAAAGGGCACTACAATGGAATACTCACTTCCAGTGCTTCCAAAGGTGGAGCCTGTCGATCCGAAGGTGGTTTTACCAAACATTATCTATTTCTATTCCCACAATTTTCAAACAGTGTTACAGGAATCGTCCAGTTTTCTGGAAAAAATGGAACATGAAATCGAATTGGTCATGTTCAATCGACCACCGATGAAGGATTCTTAATTAACCAGAAGAAGAGAATACTTAGAGAGCATCATTTTGTTTAATACTTTCTTAGCAATGGAGCTAATATAACAGATAACCCAGGTTAACAGATAAACGAAAATCTTTACAATACGAATTGCTTTTGCAGCATTCGATCAAAACCAGCATTCAAATCGCTAGCAATCTCAGTTTAATCAAATGATTCCAGAATACCACAATCCAAAGCTATCAAATTAAAAAAAATTTAGCAGTGTCAGAAGACTGTAAAGGTTTAGTGAAGAAATATATGAGTTACTCAGAAATCTAACAAAATGTAGACTTTGGCTTTGGACAATTGCGACATTTGGGATAGGTCTCGGGATAACTATTTCAAACATTTTCGAAGTGTGAAGGGTTCCCTTGTAAATGGTAAACATCCTAGAAGCCTAGAGCACTTCTAACGCAACAGGCGCCGTGCGAAATTCAAAAAAAGGGCACAGGAGGAGGGGCGGAGTCGTCTCGCACGAGGCGCGCAAGTTCAGATGATGCCGAGTGTTCGTCCCATGGTGTATTGTTGGAGGCAATGGCGCTGGAAAGTTTCAAATTCATCCAACGGAACAAAAGGACAAACTCGAGCTTTACTGTTACAAATGAAGCAGCGCAGATAATTTGTAAATGCGGCTGGCCGGCAGTTGTCAATACAGTCCGTTACTTTGGCCAGCGCCTATAGTTTATCAGCTACCAGTTGACCGTTGCTTGGTATCTTTCTTTTGAAGCTATACTAAGACAAAGGAACATCATATATGAAGATGCTGCAGAGCTCACGAATATATACTATACTCAGCGCCCCCCATGGGTGATAGAAGGGACCCTCTTGCTCCCACAATATCGGCGCCTAGGGCAAAGTGGAAGCTCCGTTGCTGCCGTAGTACGCCTTCCCGCTCCTCGATCGGTGTCAAGTTAGACGAGTGTCGAGACAATACAGATTGCTATTATTCGTTCTAATACCCACGCACAATCAGTTAATCGCCGAGTGATGAGGCGATGTTTTCCTCCCATTCTTTTTTCCTGTTTTTCTTTTTGCTGCCGCGATCCCTTATTTAATTTCCTACTCCTAGAGGCTGAAAAAGTTGAGCTACTTTTGCTGCTGCTAGGGTTTTTAAGTTTATTTATGCTTATAAGTGAATGATTTTTGCTTACAATTGTCTGTTATTCGCACCGGGACCCACACGCGCGCAGTGAAACACACTGTTTAGCTCGTCCGGGCGCCCCACTCTTCTTCATTTTTCTGGTTTCATTCACGTCCAACCCCCTTTTTGACGGTTATTCGAGGCCTTTTTTTCACTTTGGAAACATCGATGCACGCAGTTTCTCCACCTCAGTCGCACTAGTTTCGATCTTGTCTTCCATTTTTCATCATAATCTGGATTACCCAAAATTATCCTGAACTGTGCCTTTAATGCTAAAGCCGCCTCGCTATGAATTAAACCCTGCGAACTTTGTAAGCAGTTGTTGTACGACATGCTTAAAGCTACGAAGGACAATCGGCGATCACGTCGAGGTTCTTCCTAATTGAACCTTGGCGTGAATGGCATGATGTTCAGCCCGATTCTGAAGGCGGGGAAGGGAGATGATCCAACTTTCGAACGACCTCTTCTGTTTGTGTGTGTCAGTATTGTGGCGGTAGAGCAGCATGTTGAATGAGGATTTCACATAGACAAGCGAACAATTGAAAACCCTCAGCAACCACCTGATGTCGCCATCCAATGTAAGACGCCACTTTATCGAAAGTCACAGAAACGCGATTCCCTTTGTAGCGAACCCGGCCACAGAGGACGCATCTACGAGCAAGCCATACAGTAGGATTGTGGCCGCAGCCGCATAGTGCAGTATAATCCCTGGAGCAAGTCCTCCACATAAGAAGTGCTCTCCAATAATCCCCAATGAAACTGACGTAGAGGCCGACTTCACGTAATCGCCAAGAACTACCGACTCTTAATTTGTCTTTGTGAAATACTTTATAGATTTAATACTCCATCGTCAATTGCTTAACCCACACAACACCGAAGATTTGTTATGCCCTTGCCGAGCACTTTAGCATTCCCATGGCCGTGCCCGCGTCAATGGAAATGCTCAAGTGCTCAGTTACGACCCTTCCTCTTTCCTTTTGACGGTCATTATAATATTAGAAGCCCAGTTCGGGCGAAATGGGTAATTCTATACTTCAGTCTAGGATCCAGCAACGTTTGTAATACAGCAGCCGCTATGACGTAAGTGCGA